AATAAGAGTTTGTTATTTTATAAACAAATTCAATTTTTAATAAGATCAATACATTTTTGTGTATAAACGATTATACTAAAACCCCAACCCTTATTTTCAAAACCGAAAGCAGAAACAAAAAGTTTTCAATAAGAAAATATAATTAAGAGAATCTCCGACTGAACCAGAATCTAGGTTTAAAAGTAGAATAATAACTTTGTATCAGTGTTAGCACTCAATGTTCTTATGAAATTACAAAATATATAGTAAAACTTAAAAGTCTTGTAATTAATTGAAAGTGGGTCATTCGTAATTGAATTATAATATAATTTATTATACGTTAAAACCTCTACATCATGGTGCCAAATATTTGTATTATTTTATGCTTCCCATTAATCTATAGTGTATACTGTAAAAAATATATACATACCTCTAAACTCAACGAAATCAATCTGAACTGCTCCGAAGAAGCCGATTTTCGCTCAGTCAAATCTTTTCACGCATCCATTCAAGATAAAGTAGGGTTCCACACCCATGCACTTCATAGCCAAAGCACATTAAAAATAGTCATCAAAGGCATTCCTATTGATATCACAGATCAAGAATAATCGATGAACTCAAATCCAATGGTTTTGAACCAACATTTATCAGAGCTTTCTCAAAAAACGGCCACAGAATTCCTCTACATATGGTTACTCTTGCAAACCTCGAACAAGCTAAAGATATATACCAAATATCTAAACTCTTCTTTATCATCGTCAAAATCGAGCTGTATCGATCAACTTGTCCAGCACAATGCTACAAATGAAAAAACTTCGGCCACTCCTCCCTCCAATGCGGCCACTCATCAAGATGTGTCAAGTGTGGCGACACCCATGCTTCAAACTCGTGCATCAAACTTCTCGACGTCGCACCCAAATGCTGCAACTGCGGTGGTGCTCACACCGCTAACTATCGCGGATGCCAATTCTACATAAGCCTTATGAAACAAAAAGAAGCCCAGTCCAGCAATCCTCAAGGCCTACAAACTCAGAATCTCCAATCGCCCAACTCCGCCTGAACCATCTACATGTCTTAACAACACATCATCTCGGACCCACCCAAAAGCATCATTCGCTGAATTCACCAGTGGTCAAAAACCAGTAGTAACCGAACCTCGTATAACGGCCACCAAAGTACTGTCTATAATACATAAGCTATTAGCTTCAGCTTATGAATGTAAGGACGCTCAACCAAAGATTCCATCATAAGCACCATCATATCAATCATCACAGATTTCTCAGCCCAAAATGAATAACATTATTATTCTCTTTTGGAATGACATCAAGTACAAAAACAACGAACTACACACCTTCGGACGTCTCAAAAACATACACATCATTCTCCTCCAAGAAACTAAATTAAACCCATCAACCATATTCCACATCCCATACTATTTGACCTATCATCAAGATCGCCCACCAAAACCCAGATCCCCATCAAAGGGTGGTACTGCCATACTTGTCCACAAAAACATAATCCACAACCAAGAGGACATCAAGACTTCCCTTGAGTCAACTACAGTCACAATCAAACCTGTAAATGACCAAGTCCGTATAACTTCTATGTACAAAAATCTAAATTCTCCCTTGCTAACAAACGAACTGGACATTCTAACAAATCAGAACGGCCTCTTTCTAGCAGCTGGCGACCTTAACACAAAACATCAGTCTTGGAACTATCGCACCACAAACCAAACGGGCAGATTTCTCCACCACCATATGGAAACATCCAACACATACTCCATTTGCGCACCTGACACCCCAACACACTACTCCTACAATTCTCTACACAGGCCAAAGATCCTGGATATAGCACTTGTCAACCTCCCTCACAGATAGTATTTCCTTACTAATCATAATGAACTAACGTCAGACCACAACCCAATAATTGTTATGACTATAAGCGACTCTCCTATTACAATAAACCCTCAGGCTGCCAGAAAAAGAATTAACTGGAAGAAATGTAAGCAAAAATTATGGCTTAAATCTCCAATACTGACGACCAAATTATCAAACCCAACAGAAATCGACAACGAGGTTGATTCATTTACCACACTCATCAAGTCATCAACCGAAAAATGCTCCTACCTCATTAACAAACCTCAAACCAGAGAGCCACTCTCCCCCGATATCCTACTTGAGATTGCCAACAAACGGAACTTAAGGAAAGACTGACAGCGCACTAGGGATCCATCAGTCTTGACAATGCTAAACGCCCAAATAGTGTATGTCCGAAACCTCCTCAAAGAACATCGTCAATTAGCATGGGACCCGCAAAGCACCCGCTCGAAAAATCCAAATAATTGGCCAAACAATCGACTGGACAAATAAAACCACCTATCTCGGCGTCACACTAGACAAAGCCCTGCGCCTAAATGAACACGTCAAGGTGTGCATCAGGAAGGCTAAGCAAGCCAGAGGGGCACTTAACCCGATAGTAAACAGTAGATCACCCATCCCACTGCCAACAAGACTCTCAATTTTCAAATTATACATTAAACCAATCTTACTATATGCCTCTTCGGCATGGGGTCCTCTCATCAGTGCATCAATCTGGGCAAATATAGAGGCAGTTCAAAACGTGGCGACCAGGACTATCACAGGTGCCCACTTTCTCAACAGAAATAACACGATCTTAAACCCATCAACTCCTTACGGAATGAAGCAGAACTAGAGGCTAGGGTATTTCATCACAGAAATGCCCAATCAACATTCGCCCACATCCGCGACATTGAAACATCAACCACTCCACAATTCCATACACGCCGACCAAGACCAATCATTTTTGAGAAATAAAAATCTACTCCACATCCTGACAATCAGCCATGGAAATTCAAATATAAGTTATAGGCACCGCCTGACACGTACTAATTCGTCAGACGATTTTCATCATATAATCAGTTAAATTGTCACGGTCCAGTCGTCAATGCAGTTTATCTCTCCTCAAAGCACGATTTAAGATAGTATGGTTGCCCAACGAGGTATGATAAGACGGCATTGGATTTAAATCGGACCCCCGTTGCTAGCGCTTCTAGTGGACTATTTTATAATTGATAATATAATATGATAATTATATATATTTTTATTGTATATAGGTATAACATAACAATTTTTATTAGTTTTGATTTTAACCAATATGAGCACTGCATGCGGGGGACCCCGTAAATCACGTGACTTTTCGATTCAAACAGTATGCCGTGTGATAACATTTTTCTAAAGGGTCGATGGGCAACCATACTATCTTAAATCGTGCCTCGAAGTGTTGTTCAGTGTTGAATACGAAATTTGCTTCTGCTTGAATGAGCAACTCGTTCAGTCATCATAATCATTCGTAAGTACCTTAGTTACACACACCACCGGGTCGCGTCTGTGCATGACAAGAGTAAAGAAACTCGTTCCACGCCGTGGTTCCGACCCAAATCTTCTTCCCCCTCAAAAGGTTATAACCAAAAGACCAACTTCATCGACTTCTTCACTTCAATCGTCAACCAAAAAACAAAAACAACAAGATATTGAATCTCTTTCTTCTTCAGATTCCGAATCAATGTCGTCCATTTCAGAAGTAACCCTAACTGACCAAATATCAGGTCAACCTGATTTAGACTCACCCTCACTCTCCGTTGTCAAACCTTTATCAGCATCTCTACCAACTAACATCTGTTCTTCCTCTTCGGGAAAATCAATCTCCAACCACTCATCGCCTACTCCCACTCAAGACCTTCCATCTGTTTAACAAAAGATCAAACCTCCACCACCACTAATCACTTCTATCTCAGCATGGAGGAAAGCAGCGACCAAACTTATGAAAGCAGTTCCTATCGACTCGATAACAGTCAAAGCTTTCCGGAATGACTCGGTCAAAACCCAATGTACTGACTCTGAAATGTTCAGGATTGTCCAAAAATATTTTAAAAACACGCAGACTGAATTTTTCACGTTTCCAAGTCCCGAAGAAAAAACACTCAAAGTCGTAATCAGCGGCTTGCCTACCGATATATCTGACATTGAACTCACCGAAGAACTTGTATCCTAAGGATGCGAAATCACTGCAGTCCGCCAATTTGTTAAAGCCCGCAAAAAATTGCCCCTTCATATGGTATCCTACCAAATAACCCTGCCAGCAAGTCAATATTTAGGGAATCTTCATTCTTTTATATCTCAGTTGAGGTAGAAGCCTACAAAGCTAAAAACCCAGTCCAGTGCTTTAAATTTCAACGATTTGGTCATTCCAGCATCTACTGTGGGTTCTCCTCAAGATGCGTGAAATGTGCTGAATCCCATCTGGCTAAAGACTGACCCAAGACTCTAGAACAGACTCCCAAATGCATTAATTGTGAAGGCTTTCACACAGCCAACTACAAACAATGTCCAGAATTCTTAAAGACTAAAGCCGCAAAGCAAGCATCTCTACCCACGTTCAATCAACTACTCGTTCAACCAACTCTTCGTCAACCTCCAGCAACCATCACTTTTCCATCTAATGAAGATGCTCTAATCCGCCCTGTCATACGCAACTGTAGTTGGCCCTAAACCTTCAAAATTACTAAGTCAGTCTGTCAATCCAAAAGCCATCCAATTGCTCACCAATCTGCTCTCAGAGCTCACAGCCAGGTCCGCCAACATCAGAAACGTTCTCATCTTTACTCTAACTCCTCTTATCCCCCTTCTCCTATAACACAGTGTCTGACACAAGAATTGTGTTTTGGAACTGTCAAGGCGTTGCTCGGAAACGCCTTGAACTTCTCGACCTAGTCCAGAGGAAAAAGGTTGACATTATTCTTTTAAATGAAACTCGCCTTGCTTCAAATCGCCAATTTAATCTCCCAAATTTCTTTTCTTACTCAACTAATAGACCACCAGTGAATGGCCACCCTCCAGCCGGAGGGACTGCTGTACTAGTTAACAAGAAATTTATCGTAATCGTAATCAAAACCAATGACGGGGAACTTACTCTTGTCTCTGAGTACAAAAGACCAGGCACCCAACTTATAACATCAGACTTGGACATCGGCTTCAATACGATTGAGAACGTTCGATCTTTTTTAGCGTACGATTGAGATCACCCAAAATGGAACAATGAAATGAATGCTGACCCAAAAAAACAGTACTATTAATGCCGGGTCCACACAGAGACGACAAAAGTAAAACAAAACAAAAACTCTGTGTTTTTCGACAAAATCAAAACATTTTTAAAACAATTTTGTTTTTTTCAACAAATTGTTCGTGTTTTGAAAAACAAAGTCGTGTCCCGAGCGGTG